CATTTAAAATTGGGGTGTTTTTTTGCCTCAATGCGACACAGAGCTGGTTCAAATCAAAAATGTTCGAGGTTCAAAGAAAAAGCAAAGTTGGGTACTGATACTTTACACACATTTCCTGTAATTCATGCTTTCAATTTCAGGAGTTTTCAGGAAAAACCAGTAGCAGCATTGAGTTCTTACAAGATTAGCCCTGCTGGAGGTTATCTTTAGATAAAACACAAAAGACACATCCCATCACCTCTTCAAATCTGATAAACAAACACAGATTTGTTTACGAAGAACACAAAAAGACACACAGGAAAACACGTAGACACATTATGAATGTGACACACCCAAGACGCTGCAAAGGTGTACCTGTAAACACTTTGGAAAGCATTTTTAGGGATGACCAGCCAAACATGTGCACTCTAGTCAAACTAAAATATTTTCTGCATCCCAGTGGAAAAAACAGACACTTTCCAAAGCAGACGATGTGACAACAGCACATGTCCCTTTTCTAGATCATATTTTATTTAATACATTAACTTGATTGTACCAAATAAAGAGAAAAACTTTTATTTTTTATTTCTATGAAATATAAGACTGCCCAATATTCAAAATTATATCAAAATTCCATGTTTTTTACCAACAACAGGTTCCAGCATTCTCAGTCCTTTTAGCCTATTTTAAGTGTGAATACAACAGTTGATTAGAAATGTATGTACAGAAACTGAAATGGGGAACAGTGAACCTAAATATATTAAATTTTATTTTGCGCTACAGGCCTGGAAAATATTCCTTTCTATCTTTATCCAGACTTGATTAGTGCAATTACTCTAAAACAAGAGGTGCAGACTTCTTTAAATCTAAATTTTAGTGTAAGATGTGTAAAAAGTGGGCAAGAGTCCAAAGCAGAACCACAAATTATTGTTATTTTGTCGTTAGAAGATTGAGATTTTTAAAGTATCTAATAAAAAAAGATAGTAAAAACGGAAAGCCAGAATGCGGTTATGGAAAGACAAAAGAAAAAGAAGGAATTTAGTGTTTTTATTTTCTTAGTCTGGACGTGCTGCCAACTTCAACTATAGCCCCTTTAGGTTTATTTCCAGTAGGTACAAATGCTCTTTTTCATCTTAATATTTATTGTTCAAACTACTAACAACACAGCCGACATTTAGGCTTCAGCTTCTTGAATTATGCAGGTGACAGATGATAATGGAGAAAATAAGGTGAGCTCTCAGATGATGAAAAGTGAATAAAGCATTTCAAAGAGCAAAGACTATTATTTATTTATTTATTTATTTTTATTTATCTCATTCTATATTAACGACATTAAACTTGAAACATTTTATAAATCAGTTTAAGGGACGTAACCAGACCTAAAATGTGTTTTATTATTATGCAAGAATAAGGGAAGTTGCTTGTTCTAAAGCTAATATTTGATGTATAGGTATTAAGTAAAGAGGAAAAGGACATCTCTGCATCTAAAAATCTACAATTTATATCAGCTAAAATATAACTCAAGCTAAATTCTGTATTTTTTTGCAACCCTAAATGGTGCCTCTGTAAAAAAAAGAAATAATAATAATGCAGCTTGAAAGTATTTTACTCAGTAGATATCTGCAAATATCAGAATATGGAAGCCATTGATGTCTAGATTTCTGCAAAGGTCCCTAATAAACAATACATTGACTCACAAATGCACATGCATGTTTCCCTCCTGTGTTTATCTCCCTCTGACACAGGAATTTCTTCATATTTATCACCAACCAGACTTTATCATACCTGTGTGTGTTGTTTTTTTTAAACATTCCTTATAAGACAGCCCTGAGTAATGACTTCCAAATGGCAGAGTGAAACAGGAAGAAGATCTCTACTCCCATCTCCATCCCCACCTGTTTAGTTTTGCCCTGTTGTCTGCTTTTCTTCTTCTTCTCCTCCTAAACACTGCACATGTTTAGTGGCAATATATCTGTAAGCACCACCTATAACTGTTTACATACTTTGCTGTTTACTGTCTGATTCATCAGATGCCATAGAGCTCTCCTGTCAGATCTGCTCACATACCAGCATCTCCAACCACCATGAATGACGGCAAAACGATGCCAGTGGATGTTTGGAAGAAGATCAGTGGGAAGCTTGGTGGCTTATATAATAAGTATTTGAGCGATTATGCAGAGATGGAAGAAAAACACAGTGACTCTTCTAATGGATGATACGCCCATAACTACACAACTAGATGTTCCAACAGGAACACCAAACATAGAGCAAAATTACCCAAATTTTGAAACAATTCAGAGAAAGCTCAGCAGAAAAGGCTAAAAAAAAAAAACTATGATCCACATATTCCATCTACACAGTGAAGCATGGGTGGCAGATATTATAGTTTGCTCCCCTTTTCCTTCATGCCCCAATGAAAGGGAGTTGTGTTATCTTGTAGATCCTTGCACCTCTGACACAGAATACAAGTTGAGGACTAGTCCAACAGTACAGTAGATATACAAAATATGGGGCAAAGGAAGAGCAAGCAATGGCTAAAGAAAAAAAACACTTAAATGTGATGTATTGCCTCAACAGTTTCTAGAATAGGGTTATACAATTCTGGTCCTAAGGACCAACTGTACTACAGTTTTGGGGTGTTCCCTGCCTTCACACAACTCAGTTAAATAATTGGCCAATTAACAAGCATCTGTAACCCGGTGGAGTTCATTTAAACATTTAATTTAGACACGTCTAAAACCTCATGATAGTGGGTGGTGGGGACCAGGAATTAAGAGCACTGCTCTAGACCGAAATCCAACAAAACCATCTATGGTGTAAGCTAAGCTTTAGGTTGGCTTTCAGCTGCCAAGAAATCTAAAGGGTTTAAAGGTTCTGCGAATGGACGTGGGTTCAGACTTCTATCCCAATAAAGGATTTTTATGCCACATTCACTGGACTTTAACACATATTTCATTCAGAAAGACACAAATAAACTTTAACTAATGCTGATCAATTTTAACCTAAAATTATTAATGTAGTTCAATTTCTAGACAGTATCCATCTGGACAGACTCCTGTGGAAGGAGCGTCATTGAGTACTAATATTAATATTGCAATTTTATTTTGATTTCCCTTTGCACTTAAAGTCGTAGGGAAACAGCCTTTCCAACCTTTTCTCCTGAATTCTCACAAGTGGTGCACAACTTTACACGAGTGAATAAAGTGTATTTCATTGGTCGTTTATCAAGAGGGCGGGATTGTTGTGGCGGAAGGTTTGCAAGCAAGTTTGATTGCTTTTCTCTGAAGTATCGTTGCTAATCAGTTAGCCACTTAGTGCTAGTATGTTCCCAATGAGAAATTATATTGGGACCAAGTGGCACTTAGCAATGACACTGTCAAGGAACGCTATGGACAGCAGAAACATGCAAGAGGAGGAGAGTTTTGTGTCGGAGGTCGTGGATGAGTCTCCTCAGAGGCAGAAGCTTGGTTTGGTGTAGAAGGCTTACAGTCGTACATGTTTGAGCCCTTGCCTCATAACGCTGCCAGTTCTGTTAGCTCTACGCCTGCTGAAGACACAGACGTCCATCCCTGTGAACACTGGGATGTAACTCAGTGGTAAAGTAAATTATTCTTATTTTAACCGTTGCATATATTAGCTGCAACATATGAATAAAGATGCTATGACCGAAAAAATATGATTGACAGATGATATATCATTGGCCGAATTTAGGTGTAAAAGCTGACGTAAGATTTCCCTATGACTTTAATGATTATAACCACAAACGTAGACATTTTACTTCTGGGTTTCATCTTTTTCATGAAACTGATAGCTTGCTTGCTAAAATATGGTTTCTGATTGTTTCACTCTCTTACTTAGACAATAAATTTGTCTGTCTGGAAATCTCTGCATGGTGACAAATGACATGGGCAATCGTGAAATGAAATAAAAACAGTTTTCTGCTGTACTAAATGTTCACTCAATTTCTTCCCCATTTCAAAATCCTATGTGAAAAATAAATAAACATTATAGATAATTTTATTATAAAAGTAACACAAAATAAACTATTATATGTTTTTAAAAACAGGAAAAAGAGTCTGAATAACTTGGCAAATAAAAGTAACGCAAATATTTGCTTTAAATTCAAAGTATTCTGATTAGGTAAAAATTATTATTTCTTCTCAAAGTTATAATTTCTTTGAGAGGGTGGGGGGGTCTATGATTATATAATATGACATTAAAGCAAGATCTAGCTTTACATATGCTGTCTTTTCTGATTCAGGATGAGGAAGCCTTCCCTTGTGTCTCACAGCTAAAAATGAATCATTTTAATTGTATCCACTAGAGGGCGCCCTACGTAGAATGGAGACTGCTACAGTGATAGATTACCCCATAAATAAATACAAAAATAAAAACGTACGATATTATATATTGAGACGTAAAACAATAAAAAATAAAAATTATTATTTTTAAATGATTTATTTGTACTAAAATGATTCTTGCATAAAGACCCAATTTAGCGCACAATATAATAATATGTTATCGCATTATCTTTTTAAGTTATTGTATCTTGATATTTATTTTTTTATACTCAAGTTGGCTACTATTTCAGCACTTCTTTAAACTATTGTTGCAAATTGCCGTAATATAAACTGCGATAGTAACGTAACTAATAAAAAAGAAAAAGAAAGAAAAAAGTTACTTTCATGTGCTGTGAGACCTGCAAGTTCCTTGCATTAATCTAAGCAATGAAATGAAACTTTGGCTTAGATTTTCCAAAAAAGACAGACAGTCTTCCACACATTGACAACGCCCCTTTCATCTCAGCTCAGTAAAACTAACCGCAGGCAAAACACAGCAGTCAGAGAACATAGTGTTTACCAAAAGAGATGGAATACCCCTTTTAATGTGTTTTTTTAAATCCAAAACATTTTTAAACTCTTCCTAGTTTATCTAAATAGGCTGAGAATAAAAAAAAAAATTTGTTTTTCAGCAGACCAACATATTTCAGTGAACCATATAACCAATTCAGGTTTACTCACCGAGTTTGGAGCGTGAAGGAAGTTAATTTGTGTGAACTTTCCAGGAAAGAAAACAAACTATGTGAATAGAGGAAGGAAAAAGCTTCAGAGCTCTTTACGCAGCGGGAATCTTTCCTCAAAGCCCCCTGACTCAAAAAAACAGCCAAAAAACGTCCAATAGTCTCGCGCTCTGTGACCCCGGCTGCAGAACGCGTGTGGGAGGGCTCCTGGAGCAGGGTGTGGTTTCTGCTTGGAGCTGGGCTCCAGGGCTCTGCGTGAGGACAAAACCCAGTGATGGTTAGACTGCACTCAGGCTACATTCAGTGAGTCTAGGAAATGACTTGGGGTGTGTGTGTGTGGGTGTGTGTGTGTGTGTACCTGTCTAGCTCCCAATGTGAGGACAGTTTTTCCTATTTCACCATCAAATTGAGGACCAGTTGTTGCAAAGTGAGGACATTTTGCTGGTGCTCACATGCTATTTTGCTAATAGTTAGGCTTAGGGCTAAGGTGTCATTGGATTAGGGTTAGGGTGATGGTTAGGTTGTTAATGGTTAGGTTTAAGGTTATTTTTATGATTAGGGCATAGAAAGGGTTGAAAAAGACTGAAAATCATCCATCCATTTTCAGACATGCTTAATCCCAAGCGGGGTCGCGAGTTTTGCTGGTGCCTATCTCCAGCTGTCAATGGGCGAGAGGCGGGGTACACCCTGGACAGGTCGCCAGCCCATCGAAAATCAATAGAAGTCAGTGGTAGTCAACACATGGTCCTCACTACGATAGGAGAATGAGTATTTGTGTGTGTGTGTGTGAGTGAGGACCATCTTTCCGATTTCACCATTAGGGCTGGGTATTTGCGCGAAAGTCCTGAATCGATTCGGTTTTGATTCATACAGTTCTAAATCTAATTTCGATTCGATCTGTTTTTACAATAATGAAAGTGGTTCAACTATGGTTCAAAATACTCATGCATTTTATGTTTTTCCTGTCATATTAAACACGAAGTGCAAACTTGTAAATCAGACAGTTTAAGCTTGAGATGTGAACAAAACTGTCTCAAAAGCGCAAAGTTGTCTGTAGCACGAGATGCAAGGCGCCACTCATTATCAATCTAGTGAGAAGTCACCTTAATGTCACATATCCAGGAAATTATCTTTAGCTGTTTTAAATCCAAAATGGTTCCAGACATCAGACTTCAGTTGGGACAGCTTGCTGAGCGGTGTGTTACGTGGGTCGACATTTGCACACGCCTGCTTATTTGAATGTGAACGTCACGTACGTCACTATAAAACTAATCAATCTCATTCCCTACACATCGATTTTGCAAAAATGTAAAGGAATCGATCCAAAATCGATTAAATCGATTTTTTTACCCGGCCCTATTCACCATCAAAATGAGGACCAGTTGTTGCGAAGTGAGGATATTTTGCTGGTGCTCACATGCTATTTTGCTATTAGTTAGGTTTAGGGCTAAGGTGTCATTGGGTTCGGGTGAGGTATATATTGTTAATGGTTAGGTTTAGGGGTAGTTTTATGGTTAGGGCATAGAAAGGGTTGAAAATGACTGAAAAATAGTAGAAGTAAATGGGAGTCAACACATGGTCCTCACTACAATAGAACGATTAAGTGTGTGTTTGTTTGGAGTTTCACATGTGAAAAAATGGGGGAGTAAAAAAAAGAGACAGAGAAGAGGAAGGTCCAGTTAAAAGCAGACAGGAGGAAATTAAAGAGATAAAGACGGGATGAGACCGTAGCAGAAGGGTAAGAGGGTTCAGAATAAGGGCAAGGGTCTCGGAAAGAAGGAAATAGAATGACAGTAATCCAACAGATGGCTCTGCAAAAATAATTCATTCCAGGTCTCCAGGGTTTGGGTTTTTATTATGTCCACATCACAACCACAAACATCAAGGCACTTCCCATGGATTCTATATTGCAGACCAACATATAAAAGGCGTCAAAGTGAATCAGATTCATTATTTTTCACATATTTTCAAAATGTTATATATATTAAAGTATTTGGCCCCACTGAGTCTGAACTTTTGTGCAATTAGAGCTTCAGACATTTGTTGTTGTTTTTTTAAATAATCCAAATATTGCCATTAAAATCGTTTCCCTTGCATAACCTTAACTTAAGGTAGACTGCATCCAGCTCTTACAATATTCTGAGGTCAGGACAGAGACTCAGAGGAACAGGCTATCTGGCTCCGGCCATATGATATGAGGCAGTGTTACAATGAAACATATTAAGTATGGAACACACAAGAAAACACGCTGTCAAAGGAGAGGATGCGGGATGAATAACAGAACTGAAATAGCAACTAAAATCAGAGTGACTCAAACTTGAGGGGATAAATGCTTTGGAGTTGATTAGATGCATGACAATCAGATGCAGCCAATTAACTGAACATACTGCATCTGTGTCTGGACCAAGACTACCAAGACAGAAACAACAACTCACCATAGATTTAAAATCACAGAGAGGAAAATGAAGTAAACACAGGAATCATAACAAAATACAATAATTATGAACCAAATAAACCAAAAAAAAAAACACTCCAAACCACAATGTTACAACAGAACTAAACAATACAGAAACCCCAAAGCCAATTGGAACATGATGTCTCTGACTGTATATTCAAAGCTAAACGTTCTAATTGCTAAAATAGCAGACTGTGTTTCTTATCTTGATTTTATCCCATTTCTCCTGATTGTAATGTCCTTGACTGAAAATCTACACCACCTTGGAGTCTGCAGCCTTTTGGACCCTCTCATGTTTTCTTTCCCAGTTTTAACCTGAAATTAGCTTTATCTATATTCTAGTCACTCTGGTCAGCCTCTCACCTTGGCAAAGAAAAACATGCCCACACCACGATGATGCCATCTTTACAGTATGGGTCCTGTTTTAAGGGGGATGTTGAATTGTTACATTTCTGCCACAAATGGCGAGGCTACTATAAAAAATTTCGATCACATCTGACCAGAAAACCTTATTTGTCCATTGTATCACCTACCTAGATTTTAGTACAGTGAAAGGCTGCACTTAAATGCATGGATGTTTGTTGCAATTAGCAGAATGTACTGTATACAAAAGCTTGACATAGTATTCAAATTTTTATTTCTAAGGAATTCTGAAAACTGCATACATTTCCATCCACTTCAAAATTATTAACCATTTTGTTTTGGTGTCATATAGTTACCAAAGCGAATCCCTGATATTTTTTCATTTTAACACTTAATTCTCTAAAGTTTGTTAACCGTTGCCTTTTCTGTCAATTTATGATTCCCTTTTGGAGGCAGTTCACATCACAGTGTTTGACTTCTTTGTTTGCATTTTTCTGCTATTCATGTTCACCTGGGATGGACTCCTCTCTATTAAAGCTGTGTTTGAACTGTGCTCAGTGTTTGGTTTGAACAGAGGAGCTTGCCCTTTCCTTTTGGGCATAATGCCATTGGCATTTTAATGAAAGTTCAAAACATGCACATCATTTCTTAGAAGTCAAATGATTGGCTTTCTTTCAAAGAGCAATCATGATACAGCAAAACAAGTAACATGAAGAAAAAGAAAAAATCATATCTATGCTATGACGTCAATTTCTGTGTGTTTGTGCTGATACACATCACCGTCCACAGCACAACATGCCTTCTGGCAGTTTCTGCAACACTGGTGTGTTTAGTAAACTCAAAGCCACAATCGGATCCAGATTAACATAGATTTGAACAGATGATAGAAGATAGCAAATGCTGGCCAATGACAGTCCAACGTTTACTATGTTGATTAATCAGAAGAGTGGTGACAAGACTGAGTAAAATCAATACTTAAGATCAGGAAAGATTCAGCCTCTAAATCCCCAGAAAGTACAAAGTTTGCAGAACTACTGTTGTTATGCACCAGTGCAAATATTCAAAATCTTTTAATCTTCGACCTAAGATTTGTTTTCTGTTGTCGTTGCTAACCAGCATAGTGACATCAAGTGAGGTCTGAAGTTATAAGAGCCTGAATTTAAATAAAGAGACACTAATATCCTGACGTATACAAGTTGTATAAGTATACTGTTTTTTGAAAACATTAAAAAATACCTTAAGCATTCTATTTGGATATATGGATATCTAACAAATAATATTAATATAACACTGCCAAAAAGTTGATGACGAAACAATCAACATTCACTTAAAACATCAACAGCTATAAAATAGAAAAAGCCTGTTTGTCTTCTGACCTGCACCATCGTATTATATGTTACCTACACAGCCCCTGTTTTTGAAATGGAATTCTATTCTATTGGTCATATGGAGATGGTTAGTTAGAACGGACACAAGGCAATGAAGAGGGCATTGTTACAACTCAATGTCCCACTCATAATTCCAGCCATTTTTCCTGACTGGAATAACTTAGACCCTAAGGTCAAATGGCTTGGCATGATGTAAACAATTTGAAACCGAAGGGCTGCATGTGAAATAAAGCTAACACAATGCAGAACGCTGAACATTTTTAAAAGGGTTTGATTGTTTATTGCTGGACTTAGTAAAAAAAAAAAAAAAAAAAAAAAGTCACAAGGCGTAATATAAGCAAAAGTAAAAAAGTGATAATTTGGCAAATAGTTTGAGCCTTCTAAGTGCTTTTGCACTTCCAGAAGGGGAAAAGATGTTTAGAGATGTTACCCTCCTATTGACAGGTGCTTGTTACTGCAAGACTCTTCTTCCATCCCAAAAACTGTGAGGATTTTATCTAAATGCTCAAACCAACATGGCAAATCAAATTGTGTGTGCACATGGTCAGCCTTAGCATGTGACATGCTGAGACAGGCGTCTGTTCATATCCGACAAGAAAAGTCTGCAAGTGTTGAGGCATGGGTGAGAGTGGGTCCTGACCGTTTAGCAAGAAGGGTTAGACATGCTTGGTATTTTTCTGTTTTTCCACCATGGGGACTTTGAAACCATTTTTAAATTTCTATTTTAACTGTCTTGACGAGTAAATGAACGAAGGTTCCTTTGTTATGTTAGCTATGCTGAACATGAAAAAACAGTTTCCTATTGTTAGCAGGCTAAACAAGGAGTGGACAGGAAAACAGGTTATAGCCACGCCCAGGGTAGGGTGCTAGTTAACCTCAAATCAAACAGTTAGGTCCCAAATCAGGTTCTTTTTAGTAGTCAAAAAGTGCAAAAAGTATAATCTAAATGATACTGTTCTGAGGTAATGTGCCACTGATGAGTCCAGGGCCTCCCAGTAGTATATAACAAAGCACTAACATACATAATC